ATTGTTTCAATTCACTTATGCCTGCAGCTGCAGTGTGCTCATTGGCACAGAGTACAGTGAGCTGTTCAGAGATGTCCTTCAGAAACTGCTCAGATGAAGCTGAGGGTGAGGATGGTTCTGTAGATGGTCTGGATGACAGAAGTTTCAGGTCCTTCTGAAGTTCGGCAATATTAGTATTGATTGATTCTAATGATTTGTCCTGAAGCTTTATTTCATTATTTAGCCCATTAAGGGAGTTTTCTTTAAGAACACCTGTGTGCCGACCCCCAAAATTTTATTGGTCCTTTTTTATAGTTGGGCCTTCTTTCCCTACAGCTTTTTATTGTAGTATTACAACATCCTTACTGTTATGCATAACTATGTATATACAGGATTGCCCAGAAGTAACTGCCCACACGTTACCCTTTAATAACTCACGAAATTCGTATCAGACTTGCTAAAAAATTTCAAAGAATATAGATATGGTTCAAACTTAGATTACCTTAAAATTTCATCATTTGCAGAGGGTGTGGCACGCCACTCCTTCTTTTCCTCTATGCTCTATTCTGACCATAAAGTGAGTTGTCATACGTTGTATGACCCGCCGCGCAAGAAGTGCGCGGCTCCCCCTGTATATCGTCAGGACGATACACCATAGTGAAACTACCGTGGGGGTCGCAACGTGAAACAAAAAGTGAGAACGTTTTGAGTTAGGGACTTAAAATTTCCAGACACAATTGGTTTGATAATTGAAGTGCTTTCCTAAAATTTCAAGTTGGTCGTTTAAAAATTAGCCGAGTTATGACCCTTTCATATTAAGATCTGGCGGATACATGAACCCGGCACTTAATTTGTAAGTTCTTCACTCAATCAATGGCCTGATTGGTTGGAACCTGCTCATATATACTGCTAAAGAAAACAACAATTTCAAGAAAACAACAATTTTATTTAGTATCAATTAAAGCAAACATAAATATATTTTATATATAACTAGCAGGACCTTTTTACCAGATATCTTAGGGGACTTGGAGTAGCAAGAGAATGGGTAAAGGTATATACCTATTACAAAAATACGTCAAAAAGAATCCAGGGTGATACAGGATCGGAGAGTGCAGACCGTAAAGTTTACGCACCCACCCTTGCCTCCTAAATTCTTGGTTGGGTAGGCATTTATGCGAACTTGGTCGTTTATACTCCAAGTCCCTTTGTTAAAAATTAATAAAATTTATCTCAGGAGTTAACTTCACTCAACAATAATAATATCAATATCAATTTATCGCATAAATTTAACTATCGAATATAGGTTCGATTATCAAATATAGGTTCGATCTGATATAAATTTGTAAAATAAAATATTTAATTATTAAAAAAATTACATCAAGTGGTTAAAAATGGATCTGAAAGCTTAACAGCTTATAGTTCAATCATGATAGTAATATTAGGTGTGTGCCGCTGCATGTGCAATTTAATTACTGCAATTTAAAATTGGTTGGAGTCCAGGTATCTTTTAAGTCGGCTGCCTGTGATTGTACTAATAGTGCTTTGGTTCTCAATTTTATCAAGTTAATGGAAGTTTCTAGGCAATTGCTTGAAGTTAAAATTTTTTTATGAACTGTGTTCCAAAGCTTGGCTGCATTAAACAAAAAGGTATTTGATTTATTTAGAAGAATAACATTTAGACTTGTTGCACGGTTTGAAATGTTGATGGCCTCATAAAGGGAGTAGGGGCAGTGGTACTTGATAATCTTAGAGAATTCTAAAATGCAGTGATATTTGTACAAGTTTTGAGCCGTTAGAATTTTTAGTCTATTAAAAATGGGTTTTGTATGCTCCTTTTCAAAGTGTTTATGGTCTAATTTTTGCATACCATACGGTCTAGTACGTGCACATGTTGATTGTTTATCTAAATATGAGTCGAGATCACGCGCATCCCGCACCAAGAGTACCAACACAGAATAATACGCCAAAAAGACCAGCAGCTGCGGATGCAACTGAACATGTTCCATTCACCTAACCGTGTGCTTTCGCGCCACTGCGGGCGCGCTTATTTCACAAGTCAAGACAAGCGGCCCGCCGTGAGTCAAGACAAGCCCGCCGTGAGGCGGGCGCGCGCTACTGCAAGCGCAAGGATTCTGGATAGAGCAACATGTTCCAGTTACAGCTGCTGTTCCTACTTCGCAATCACTTCCAGCACTAATTGTATTGACCATTGAAAATGGTCTGGCCCGGCGCGCGCTACTTTGTAGCACTTGCCGTCGAGAAGAAAGCGGCGCGCGCTACTTCGAAGAAATTTAGACGAATAACATCCGTCAATAATTGTACTGAGCAACAGAGCGGAGAACACAGGGAGACAAACCACAAATTTAAACATTCTGTCTGCAGTAGATTTGTCATACGTTGTATGACCCGCCGCGCACGAAGTGCGCGGCTCCCCCTGTATCGTCAGAACGATAAAGGTCGCACATAGTGAAACGACCGTGGGGGTCGCAACGTGATACAACAGTAGATTGGGTCATTATTCCTATTTGACCATTGTTATTAAATCCGGCCCGGCGCGTGCTACTTCGTAGCACTTAGCTTACCGTCGTCGGGCAAGAAAGAGAAGAAAGCGGCGCGCGCTAATTCGAAGAAATTTAGACGTCTAGACGAGTAACATGTCCGTCAATATTTTTAAAAGTAGATGCGACTAGTTGCGATATTTGTCGACTCAAAAAATAACAGAATCTGTTAAACAGATAGATTTGAAATTAAACAATTCTTAGTGTCCAGTGTCACAGTAAAAATGTTCATGTTTGTGGACACTATTAGAACGCTGAACGCCCCCGAAAAGTCCTTAAGTGAATATTAATCCCGAGCTGTGGTTGACCGTTTTAAAATGGAAAAAGCATCAATGCATTGTCATTACAAAAACCAAACCTAAAGATTATCTTCGACAATAACAACTTAGTTTTTGTGGTTGAATGTTGAATGTTGAATAATGTGACTGTCTTCTACTTTTAGTGCGCCCCTCCTTATCACAATGCTGGCAAGCATTACCGTCGCCCTTATCACAATGCTGGCAAGCATTACCGTCGCCCTTATATTCACAATACTATTTACCCCCTATACTAGTATATCCCCTTTATTGTTTTCCAGGCATTAAGACTCATCGAAAGTAGTTCAGCAGGCATATTTAAGTTCAAAACATTCTAATTCAATGTTAAAGATGACAGGAATAAGAAATAGTTATGTGGAGGTTTTTAAGAAATTTGCGCAAAATACGCGCCAGCATGTTATACGAAATTAGGTAAAAAACCCAAAATCGCCATATTCAGGTGCCTTAAAAACCATGTTAAAATTGAGTTAGAGATCTGAAACTTTGCAGGGCGTCTAGACCTTGTCCAAATCGACTGTAACAAAAATTTCATGTTTCAGGAGTATCGGGAAGTGGGTTTTCTGGAACCCCTGTTTTACAACAGATTGTCGTGAAGCATATATATAATATAGACGCTTTGGCAGTCAATTGGCAGTCAATTGTAGCCTACATTTAAGTGTCCGTAGATTCAAAAGTATAAAAGATACAGTCATTTCGAACCACAGGTCTTGAAGATAATCGTTTACACTCCAGTTTCCATTATATTACAAAATAATTTAACGTCATCATCATCACTTGATGACGTCATCAAGTTAAGTGTTTTTAAAACTTGGTTTTTAACAAAATAACAACTTTTCAAATCGATTTTAAACCATTAAGGAGTAATTTTATTCAAAATCTGAGGACATTTTCACCTTAGATAATTGTTCAAGCATTCTGAAAATCTACCGGAAAATTTTCCTACCTTGCTCCTTCATAAAGACATTCGCTATTGAAGTTAGTGCTTTTTTGAAGAATAATTTTATAAAAATACAAAAGTTGTGAATTAGTATTCTCTGGTGTTGGGCCATCTCTTGGGTTGTGGAGCTCGATTGTGCATCCTAAAGGTCTAAATTGTATTATAGGCTAGTTTTAAAGTTGAAAATCGAAAGTTGCACACGTGGGGACACGCCCAAATTGATAGAAAATTGCTAAAATTACTGAAAATTGCTGTTTTCACCATTTTTATCAACTTTGGAGTCCCGTTGTGATCCAAGTTCTATATGAAATCTTCTGAAACTTTGCATGCTTATTAAATTATATATAAAATACTGCTATGCAAAGATTTACGGTGATTCAATATTGTATGCGCACGCAACGTCCGCTCAAAGTTTGCACGTGCGAAAGGTGAGAATTTTGCTCATTCGTGATTTCGAATAAATTCTGCTTTCTCGCGATATTTAAATGGAATTATATATGAATTTAATGCCAACTTGAATGAGTAAAAAGTGCCATATTCAGTCAGGTAAAATTTCGAAATCGATGAAATTACCTCCTAATTATTAATATAAATATTAATGAAGTTATGAGTTTACATTTCGGCTTTGTAAATTATCCTGACATTATAATCAAAAAGAGATGATACACAGGTCCGTATTGCCTGATTTAAGTTATGCAAAAACCAGCGGTCAGCTATCGGAATATAGCGGTTACACAACGGAAGCTAGCGGATGGCTAGTGGAAACTAGCGGACGCCTAAAGGAGACGCGGTAAAATGCAGCACTCATACCTAGCGGATGGCTAGCGGAGGCTAGCGGACGCCGCGCGCAAACTAGCGGATACTAGTGGTGTACATTTCAAAGAAAAATGATACATTATTCTCAAATTTTGAAATGAAAATGAATTTCAAATCTTTTGGTTTTACCAAATTCAATATTGTGACTTCAATTACTACCCCAGCTTTAAACATTAAAGCTAATTTATTTTTACAAGTTTTACAATGCTAATATGTTAAGGTAAGCCGCGCAAGTTATAAGCAAAACAATTTTTGTTTCTGCGCGGAGAATTGATTGCGGAGTAAATTTAAGATCTGAGCTGGGATATGAAGTCCGTGCGATATCATCGTGGATATGTCGTCATGGAGTTGATGAATTTGATCCAGGTTGCAAAATGCAACCAAAATTTTAACTAGGAATTAACATATTTCTTCAGTACTGTTGCATTAATCATATATTGTTTAACACTTGCAGAACAGTTTCCTTTAGAAACTTGCGTACCAGTACTTCAACTTAGTGGATTCAAATAATTTCGTTGTGCTTGAACAAAATTAGTTGTTTGTAACGTTTAACTGCCTACCAGAAACATGTCATTCATGACTAGACTGACACGGGATATTGTTGAGAGGGCGGAGGCCAATCAACCCCTATCGACTACAATGTAAGTAAATAAAGCTTGACATAAACTCTTGGTTGAAATATTCTCAAAACAGTAAATTTGTCAGTTAATTGTTACATCATAAGTGAATTATATTTATCCCTCCAGACCGTCGAAAAGGAAAACATTAACAACTGTTATACCTCCGCCCAAGGAGGAATTTGCAGAATATATTCGGAGGTAAGATTATGGCGGATGTAAATTGAAGATTTTGTAAAAGTTGCCGAAAAATATTTGAACAAGTTACAAGTGTTACCATTCCTATTTTAGTAAACAAATTTCTATCATCGCCAGCAGATTGGAGGAAACCCCCGGCCGAGAGTGTGAGACTCCAGGAGTGATTCGTACAACTGACAACTTACTTATTTTTGATTCATTTTAATTTAATGCAATAATGAATACTGAATTTTAAACTTTACATAACTTTATAATTTTATTCACATTATATCCCAGGTTAAACAAACACCCAACGTCCCAAGTGTTGGGCCATTTGTTAGATTTTGTAATTACTCCTTTAACAAACATGAAAAATATACTTTTTATCCACCACAATTAATTTTTCCTAAAACATTATCTAACAAATGGAACGGTGAGGGACCTGGCATGATTAAATAACCAATCGCTGATAACTTTTATTGCAGAATTGTCGGTTGCACAATTAGATACTGGTATAGTGAATACTAGAAAACCTTTGCAGTGCCCCCCTCCCCTCCTCTCTCTATAAGCTCTGGGAACACTGCAGTATAATCCTTATTTCGGACGAAGTCCCACTCTTAGTCTTAATCTTCTAAAGGTAGTAATTTCAGTTATTGAATACTTACTACACCCTTTTTATTTTCTTATAGTGATATCTTCATCTCTTTTAAATTTATTTCTCTCACTAGCTCCTACAAGTTTAAAAAATATTGTTGGGTTTAATTTGCAGTGTATCACTCACCATACATCTTCCAGGACCTTGAAGACCACTGACGCAGATAGGCAAAGAATGAAAACTTCACTCATTGAATAGTTGTCTGCCGCGATAAACCTACAATATCACAAAAAAATAAAGTTCAGTTTGCAGTATAACAGAGACGCGCACGTACGCACATATCATATATCAGTTAAGCTGTAATAATAATACAATTGATGACGTACCAATACGCTACATTATAATGCCATATATTAATATACAACATCATGGAATTATAACATGCATTGAGGTCGTTTCGTAACCTGTACAATACTGCAAAACTGGTGGTGACAAACCAGTCTAGTTCAGCTTCTCCGCATGACACGGTTTATGTGATAACTTGATTAATCGACATAACAACATTATGCAACATATTTTTGTATAAATGTACATCATGTACGGCTTAATCATTCTATGCATAAAATGAATAAATTTGAGGTCTAATGGTTGCAGCTGAGCTAAATGGATTGCAGACCGATTATTAACTAAAATGATACACCGCTAGATCCCGCTAAATCCCGCTAGCTATCCGCTCTCTTCCGCTAGGTAATAATGCTGCGCGGCAAAATTGCGCGCGTTAGATGTCCGCTAGGCATCCGCTAGGCATCCGCTAGCTCCCGTAAGACATCCGTTAGTTTCCACTAACCATCCGATATTGCCGCTAGGTCCGCTGATTTTTGCATAACTTAAATCTGCAAAATCGGCTATATACGGACCTGTGGATATTTGACCAAAACCCATAATCATGGGTAGAGTTGTCATACGTTGTATGACCCGCCGCGCACGAAGTGCGCGGCTCCCCCTGTATCGTCAGAACGATAAAGGGGGTGATAGTGAAACGACCGTGGGGGTCGCAACGTGATACAAGGGTAGAGTGTACCGCTGCCAGTGTCTCTCTTTTCCAAACAAAAGGAAATGATATTAATTTGAATAACCGTCCGCAAATGCAAATTGATACCGAGAATGAAATCGGTCGCTCGCTTTTTCCATTCGATTACGGCTTACGAATTGTAATAAAGCTTATTGATTGGAAAAAGCGAGCGACCGATTTCATTCTCGGTATCAATTTGCATTTGCGGACGGTTATTCAAATTAATATTATTTCCTTTTGTTTGGAAAAGAGAGACACTGGCAGCGGTACACTCTACCCATGATTATGGGTTTTGGTCAAATATTCACAATACTATTTACCCCCTATACTATATAGTATATCCCCTTTATTGTTTTCCAGGCATTAAGACTCATCGAAAGTAGTTCAGCAGGCATTTTTAAGTTCAAAACATTCTAATTCAATGTTAAAGATGACAGGAATAAGAAATAGTTATGTGGAGGTTTTTAAGAAATTTGCGCAAAATACGCGCCAGCATGTTGTACGAAATTAGGTAAAAAACCCAAAATCGCCATATTCAGGTGCCTTAAAAACCATGTTAAAATTGAGTTAGAGATATGAAACTTTGCAGGGCGTCTAGACCTTGTCCAAATCGACTGTAAAAAAATTTTCATGTTTCAGGAGTATCGGGAAGTGGGTTTTCTAGAACCCCTGTTTTACAACAGATTGTCGTGAAGCATATATAATATCTTAGTTGTAGTGAACGCTGGACTTAGTCGTACTGAACGTACGTTCCAATCATTTTGTAGTGAACGTTTGTGAACGTTAGTGAACGTTAGTCAATATTTTGATAATTTTTCCGATAGTTTTTAACTTGAGATGGATACAATGAGATAAAACCATGTTGTCGGAATTAGACAGTAAATAAACAGTAATGAATAAAAATAAGTCACTAGTATAGCAAATAGTAATGAAATTATTGCCCCTTAATTCGTGAATTGTTCATAAGACGCAAACTTGCGTTAACATAAATAAGGTCTCGCTGCTTGTCAACTGTGAGGCGGTTTCTTTTTTTGTTTATCACCCAGTCGTACAAGCTCCAATTCGTCTCACTGGGTGAGGCTGATGTCGATTGCGACAGCGCTTTCATTGCAAAACTCTGTAGTTCGGGTACCTCGCAACCGAAGTTGCTCCACCAAGAGACTGGATCGTCAGAATCTTGGCTAAAACTTGAGGCAGCGTCAGTAGAGAATAAGCCTATTTTCTCTTGGTAGAACGTGTACTGCGAAAGTATCTTCTTCTTTGTTGCGCCGTCACACCACGTGTCCATGACATCTAGAAAATCCTTCCAGACATCCTGATTCGTGTGCTGATCATATCCTGATAAGCCGGGTGAACACAAAACCCTACTGAATGTAGGGGGGAATGGAGCTCGAGCCACCTTTTGTTGGCAAGACTAACCATATCACTTTTATGGTTTCTATTGCGGAAAGCAAAATTTGCTAACTTTAAGGTGAACAGATAATATTTGTAATAAATTACACCGATGAAACCAACAGGAATCTTAAGACTATTGTCTGAAAATATAAGCAAGACTATTATCGGCTCGAGAATCGAGCATAAATAGTCGACTTCTATCCAGAAATGGGGGTCAAACACTAAATTTTTAGCACACTCAAACAAATTCTTGTATGCATTACTTTTATTGCTAACAGACTCAGTAAGGGTTGGATCAATATAAGTCTTAATCAAAGTATCCTTGGAACCCTTCAGTCTCTCTAACATAATAAACTGGGTGGCAAACCGAGTTTCCCCTGGTTTTAGCAAATTGACATGAGAACAGGGGGGGATCAGGTACCAAGTGCCGGACATCACGTCGACTAAGTGTAGTTTTGGATATTTTTCACTAGACCCACCCATTCCCGATGAAAATGGGTTCTTAACGTTTTTAGAATCATGTCGTGATTCTTCACATTTGTAACTATTTTGTTACAATTCGACAATGTCTCCTTGGTCCAGCTCAACTTCCCGACATCCTCAGCAAGTAGATCGAACTGGTGGGTTACACAGCATGATCCTATGATGTGTTCATAATCAGCTTCGATTAAGCGTCGTAGAGATTTATTGACATTTGGATTGTCTGTTACAACGTGGCAAATCCTGTCGGCAAGTGGCAATGGAAACGCTAGTACTTTGCCGGATAATTGGGCTATGTCCGGCATTTTAATTTCATAATAGCAATTAACGTTCCTTATGTTCCGAACGTTAAAATCTTTTAGCGAACGCGTTCACAAACTATTTTTAGTGAACGTTCCGTACGTTCACTACAACTAAGTATAATATAGACGCTTTGGCAGTCAATTGGCAGTCAATTGTAGCCTACATTTAAGTGTCCGTAGATTCAAAAGTATAAAAGATACAGTCATTTCGAACCACAGGTCTTGAAGATAATCGTTTATACTCCAGTTTCCATTATATTAAAAAGTAATTTAACGTCATCATCATCACTTGATGACGTCATCAAGTTAAGTGTTTTTAAAACTTGGTTTTTAACAAAATAACAACTTTTCAAATCGATTTTAAACCATTAAGGAGTAATTTTATTCAAAATCTGAGGATATTTTCACCTTAGATAATTGTTCAAGCATTCTGAAAATCTACCGGAAAATTTTCCTACCTTGCTCCTTCATAAAGATATTCGCTATTGAAGTTAGTGCTTTTTTGAAGAATAATTTTATAAAAATACAAAAGTTGTGAATTAGTATTCTCTGGTGTTGGGCCATCCCTTGGGTTGTGGAGCTCGATTGTGCTTCCTAAAGGTCTAAATTGTGTTATAGGCTAGTTTTAAAGTTGAAAATCGAAAACTTGCACACGTGGGGACACGCCCAAATTGATAGAAAATTGCTAAAATTACTGAAAATTGCTGTTTTCACCATTTTTATCAACTTTGGAGTCCCGTTGTGATCCAAGTTCTATATGAAATCTTCTGAAACTTTGCATGCTTATTAAATTATATATAAAATACTGCTATGCAAAGATTTACGGTGATTCAATATTGTATGCGCACGCAACGTCCGCTCAAAGTTTGCACGTGCGAAAGGTGAGAATTTTGCTCATTCGTGATTTCGAATAAATTCTGCTTTCCCGCCTAAATGGAATTATATATGAATTTAATGCCAACTTGAATGAGTTAAAAAGTGCCATATTCAGTCAGTGAAATTCGAAATCGATGAAATTTACCACCTAATTATTAATATAAATATTAAATGAAGTTATGAGTTTACATTTCGGCTTTGTAAATTATCCTGAACATTAATAATCAAAAAGAAGATGATAATTGACCAAAAACCCATAATCCATGGTAGAGTGTACCGCTGCCCAGTGTCTCTCTTTTCCAAACAAAAAGGAAATGATATTAATTTGAATAACCGTCCGCAAATGCAATTGATACCGAGAATGAAATCGGTCGCTCGCATTTTTTCCATTCGATCCGGCTTATACGATGTAAATGGTAATAAAGCTTATTGTTTAGAAAAAGCCGAGCGACTTGATTTCATTC